AATGCGAAAAACAGAAAAAAAAATACTTTTGTTTACTCTTATGCCTGCGTTGCCTTCACTGTTGTTGTTGTTGTTGTTATTGTTGTTGCTCTGTCGACGTCGCAGTCGCCGCTGTTTACACAATTCCAATTCCACAACCGAAGTCCAGTAACAATATCCATAAAAAGACAGCCCAAAAAACAAGTCAGAATTAATTCAAGTCCAGATACATAATTCGATGAAGATATACCCTTAACTGAGAGAAAGATAAGCGTAAGATCGGTTTGTTTCCAAAATAAATACAACATAAGTTAAATAATAATCTGTACGAGTGATAAGGATAATCATAAGATACTAAAAATCCGACTCGATTAAAAAACCCAAAATGTTTTTATACAATTTTAATAGATTGTAAATACAAAAATATTATTAACTTCCTTAAGAAATATGCTGAAAAATACTTACAAAAAATAACAAAAAAAAATATATGCAATAATACCCAAAAAATACCAAATTATTTTTACAACAATTTTAAGAAATTAGAAAGTAAATTATAAAATATTATTATATCTTTAAAAAAAATTGTAAATATATACAAATCCGATAATACCCCCTTAAGCATGTATAAATGTAGAAAGTCCTAAAAGATAGTGATGATGAAGATACATAAATCAACAGCAAGAGCCACTGAGAAATGCGAATGGATAATGACCTTCAGTTACGTCGCTGCCGACGACGACGTCTCTGTCGGAAGGGGGGTGGAGAGGAGGGGATCGGCGGGGGCCGAGGGGTCAAGAAACAACACAACTTAATTTCTGGTAGTCAGGGACATTATACCGCCGCTCTCTTTCTCTTTTCGCTATCCCCGCCCACGCACAAACATTGTAAACAAACGGAATTGCTTCCTAGTTGTAAATTTGCACGCAAACATACGCAAATACACTGCAAAAAATTTGGTTAATAAGGCATGGATTTAAGGTCTTCAACTTTTCTCAAATTACTCATGCAACACGTATGCCAGTTAGAATTTATTTCAAAAAAAAACCTTTTTTTTACTTTTAACCTTTTATTTTTTTAATTTCTTTGGAAAAAATGTTATAAAATGGAGCGCTAATAAACAAATATTTGGTTTGAAGCTACGCCGCCTAAATAAAAAATATTTTTTTTCAAGGGCAACAGGACGTATAAGTAATTAATGTAAAAATTTTTTTCTTTTAGAAGGATCCTATTTCTATAAAAATAAGATTCTCTTTTAGATACATACATTCAGTTGTGTTTGGAATTACGAAAATACTTGTAATTTAATTTAATTTATCTTGTATATTTAATAACTAATATTGAAAAAAATTCGAATGTGTTCAGTGTATAACAATAATTGCTGCCTGTGCGCCTGCTCTCTCTCTGTTTTTCCTTTTCTCGTATCTCTCTCCGAAAGAGAGTTATTTTTCCCCATGGCTCTCCCGTTCTCCTGTGCAAACAAGTGTTTGTTTGCTGCGTCGCCGTCGACGTTGGCAGAGGCTGCGGCAGCGGCAGCGGAAGAGGCACCCCAACTTTCCACCCCTCACACACACAACGAACCACCCACCCCCACCCACGCGCCTGTCGAACTTTCTTATTTGATTACTGGCAAAAAAGAAAAGAGTCCCGCTCTCTGTCAAAATGTGACAAACGAATTTGTACTAATTAGCATTTCTCATGCGGCCTTCACAGTGGTCCGCATCGATTAAAATGTGCTCTGTAAACGATGACTTGCAATTTTGTTTGTCGTGCGAGCATAAAGTTCAGGCAGATTAAATAACTTAAGTGGACTCTTACAAGTTATCAACATCATGGCTTAAAGTTTACAAATTATGGAATAATGCTTGAACATTTTAAAAGACCCATAAATAAAATACTTTTTGCAATCCTATTAGTTTAGTATTAGTTTACAATTTGGCATTTTATTTTAAAAAAGGATAAAAACAGTCCTGATGCTGCTTTTAAATTGAATGAAATTGGTTAAGTGATGAAAATATGATATTATTATTATTATTTCTTAGTTCACCAACATATCTTCATTTATAAACCTATTAATTTACCTTTATTATAGTGGGGTTGTGCAACCAAATAAAATCGAATTATTTCCCTAAGATTTGTCTTATTTTATTATAAGTTTTTAATTTCCTTTTTTGCGAATTACTAGATTCCTTAAATTAGGTTACGATTAATTAATGTTCTTCCACGCCCACTGTTCCTTGATTTAGTTTTGGTTTTGGCATATCACTGTGCTGGCCAAAAAGTAACGGAACAACAAAAGTTCGCCCAAGAACAAAAAACTAACACAGAAAGCGCAAAAGAGAGCGCAAGACAATAGCTTCGCAAAAGACAAGAGAAAGAAAGAAAGGAGGGGGCGTTGAAGGAGGAGTGGGCGGAGGAAAGAGCACAGCACGTGAACTGAGAACTTGCGCACGAGAGAAAAACAACAGTAATAAAAACAAAAGCAAAAATACACCTCCCACGCAGCCACCAAAAACGCAATGCACTTTGACTGCGGCAGCGGCAGCGACTGCGACTGCGGCAGAGGAAAAGGCAGAGCCGTACTAAGACGAAAACAAAAGAATATCTTGCTAAAATTAATTAAAAACAGAGAGGAAAATATTAAAAATTATATGGAAATTTTTGGAAACTTAAAATAAACATTGTAAAATGTATTTACTAAAAATATTGAACATAGAATAAATATAATTACCCATTCAATAACACATATTTTATACATTTCATTAACGAATTATTTTAGTATATGCCTAATGTAAAAATTGTGTATAAATAATTAAATATTTCCACAAATTCTAAAAAATTAATAATGTATTTATAGTTTGTTAATATTTTACCATAATAAATTATTTATATTTTTTAACCAAAATAAATTTAATACATACATATATTATTTCCTTAGATTATAATATATCATAAGACTGCAATGTAATTTGGATAATCAAATTTTGTTCGGTGCACAACTGCAATCCGCTTGTAGGCAAAAAAAAAACAAATATATAGTGCAACTACAACTCAAGGCAAACCATTTGGGCAGCGCTGCGGCAGAGCGTGGGCAGCGACGCCGGCAGAAGACGGAAATACCAGGCGAACGATGACGAACGTAAAAACTACGCACCAAGCACAAAAACAACACCAAAACACGCCACGAAAAACAAACAAACAAGCAAGGAGTGTGAGCGAGAGAGGTGGGGATAGCAAGCAAGCGAGAGAGAGAGAGAGATAGAAGATGGGAATGGGAGTGGGAGTGGGAGAGCACCTGCCCCCTACTGTACCGCCCACTCGGCTAACGAGCAAACAAAACTAAACAAAAATAAATAGAAACCGAAACAGAAACAGAAACACAAGAAAAGCAGCGAAATAGAAAAGCAGGAAATATTTCGAACTTATCAAGTGGGGAGAAAAGAGAAGACTTACAGCTTTGCATTTCTATTATTAATTAGTTTCTACAAAACCCATTTGAGTGCACTAAAAGTATTACAGAAGTGTTCTTTATACACATAAATACAAATACATAAACATACATACATATGTATACATGGGAATGAAGGACAAAATCAAGGAGAGTTTCTTAAGGAGTAGGAGGCAAACCTTTATAAAAAAAAAATTTTGATAAGAAATTTATGTATTATATTCAAATTAAAGTTAAGAACTTTGAACAAAAACTGGAACTTAAACAAAAAAAATATTTTTTTACTATAATCATCCTACATTTAAAGATAAATGCATATATAAATACATACATATATATGTACATATCTTCTACGATTTGTGTCAAAATCCGCATTGTTTAATAAATAACACAGTTCAGCAATGGCAAACTCAATTATCTTTTGTCAAATATAACGATCGCTTTCAATGAACTTTCTTTTGTTTTTTGCTGTCTTAGGAATTTTACTACGACGTAGTAGAAATTTGGTTCCATTTTGGCGCGAAGCAGCTTGTGATTATGGTTTTTTATTGTTACCATTTTTGTTGTTTTGTTTTTGCTTTTTGTGTCGACCTCGGTTCGTTCAACTCGGGTTTTTCGCTGAACCGCTCCTGTCTACTTGTTTGTTTAATTTTTTGCCATTTCTGCTTCACATTTTATTTGTTTGTTTGACTCGGCTGCGCGCGTGTCATTGTGTGTGTGTGCGGCCCAAGAAGCGGTCGGCCCCCCGCCCCCTCTCCAGTCAGCACCCCCCTCCCCCACCACCCATTCATCCCATCCCATTGCCCGCTTTTGTTGTTGCTGCCGTGTTTCTTTTGCTCTTTATCAAAACAACTGCGCAGTCGACGTCGACGCCGCGGCGCAGTCAGCCTTCACACAGCAGAGGGAGCAAAAACAATACAGTCCATGAAATGTGCATTAAAATAACTTGACTATTTTAAAATAATAGTTGTTTATAATAAGAGTTTTAAAAAGAATTCAATAAGCACTTTAACAAACTTAGACAACAACTAACTAACTTTTTGTGAATTATTTTTAAGATTTCCTGGTCAAAAATAAAACTTTAAGCTGACCAGACTAATAATTAAGGAGGCATTTAATTAATTCAGGTATTTATCTTTAAGAAACTTAGTTCATTAGTTAATTATAACTATTATTAAGCAAAATGAAAACTATAATTTAATACTCGATACTCAGTGCTACTTTCATGACCGCCGCTGTACGTCTGGTAGTGTTTTTTTTGGCGCGCACTGCTCTTTCTCTCTCTCAATCTCACTCACTCTCTCCGTCGCGTCGCGCTCTCTCTCGCTCCTAACCCCCCTCCCAACATCATCACACCATTGTTGTTGCTTTAAGCATGACAAAGCACCGTAGAATTTCACAACAGGCCAAAAGAGAACTTCATTACGATGTTCGTTTTTGTTTTTCCACGAAACAACTGTTTACTCTGCTTCTGCTGCTGCCGCCGCTGCCGCCTGTGCTCATTTCAATTTCGCTGCCAACGTCGCAGTTGGCGTCGCAGTCGACTGCGCTGTCGGTGCGGTGCGTTTACAAATCGATGCCAATAGGTTTGCGACTGTTTGCCGAAACAGACGCCAGACGCTAACAGACGGTGCTCGCGAGCGGTTGTAACTAACGGTAGAGCTATAGTACATCTATTGCGCGCGTAACGGGAAAATTACGGAGCAGTAAAAGCGCAACAGCGCCTCCGAAATAGCGGTAAATATCGCCACTGCGAGTGTGCGTGCGTATGTGTGTTAGTGTGTGTGTGTGTTTCAGGGAGATGTTTGTTTTCGCCACAGCCTCCTTTTGTTTTCCTTTCCTCATTCGTATTGTTTGCTAAACAAATAACGGAAAAGCAATTGCCAGACGCAGAAAATTGTTTGAAATATTTTTACACAAAAGGATACTACATTTTAAGCGGAATATCAGTGAAAAACAAATATTAAACATGTGTTGACATAAAATGCTTTTACAAGACATCTTGAATGTGAAAAAATATTAGAAAAATGTGATGAAGTCAAAAACGTTTTAAATAGACAATCAAAAATTATGTGCAAAAACAAACCATTAAAATACCAGCAAAACAGTTTAAAATAACCAAAAAAAAAACCGAAAGTGTTAGAAATATATTTAAACAAAAGGTCAATATCTCAAAGAATTGATTAAAACTGTGTGATTAATTATATAATATTTTGAAAAACTTAAAAAATATATAAACAATTGAATCTCAGTAAAAGAAAAACACATGATCAACACAATAAATATATGTAATTTTCAATAAAACCCAGCAAAAATGCAAAACAGGAACCAAACTCTTAAGCAACCATACATATATTTTTTAGAACAATAACAAGTACATATTTCAATTGATCAAATATTTTGAAACACACTCAAAAACCTTGCGAAGCTTTGAAAGCAAATATTTATTTTGGTTCAATAAAGAAATACCATTTAGGCAAACAATAACCAATATTCAAACAAATATTTCACAAAAAGTGTTTTCAAAATTTATTTCAATACCGTATAGAGCATGTGCGTACGATTGTAAAATGTTTTTTATTTCATTCCGCGCGCCTTGAAATGTATTTTTAAGTTTCTGTGCTCAATTTCGCTTTGGATGTTGTTTACTTTTTGCGTTGTTTAATTTGTTTTGGCCTGTGTTGCCTCTCTCCCTCTTCTTCCTTCTCTTTTTTTTTGTTTTTTATTCAAAATGACAAAAGGCGAAAACAAACTAAATTGTGGATAACATGGATTTTATGCAAATTCAACGTTTTCTGATTCAGACCTTTTATTTTGGCAGCGATTTTAAACGAATTCAAAATGGTTGAAGACTGCCCCCAATGAAATCTGTCACATAAAAACAAACTCCCAAAACTAATTGATTACGTAAGAAACCAAAAACTAAACATATTTTCCAAAGTTCAGAAATATTTAAAGTAAAACAACACATTTAATTTAAAAATAAACAGCCAATAAAAAGTGCCTTGCAAGGCATTTCCGCCGTGATTCACATTACAAGACAATAAAAAAACGGTGACATTTAGAAATTCCTGATAAAAATCCCCCATACATTATTCTCGACAATCAAACAACAAATAAAATCAAAGTTTCCGAGACATGCAAATTAATTTGTAGCTCAGAAAAAAACCCAAAAACCATAAACACACAAATCAGTAAACAACAAATGTACAAATAATACAACAAATTAAAAGATCGAATTGACCGCAGAATTCCAAGAAAATCCCTCAAAACTGTGCTACTTAAAAATAACACGAGGCCGCCTTCGAAATGTGCGAGGGAAAAGCCGAAAAAACCTGGCCAAAAACGCATTTAAAACATTTTTCAATTTCGTGGCAATAACGGCAAGTAATTGGAAAATCACTCGAACACAAACAAAGAGCGAAAAAAGTGCGTAAAAAAGGCAGCGTGGCGTAAAAAAACAAGTTCTAAAAATAGACCAAAATGTGTCGCGTCTAAAAATTGACGCAGAGTGTGGCGCAAACAACAAAAGCAAACAACTAAACACAAAAAAAAAAACACAGACAAATAAAACACAAACAATAAAAAGCACATGAAAGCTGAACTAAAAACAAATTAAGTTTTTATCGCCCCGTCTCTTTCCAACTCTGATTGTGCAAGTGTGTGTGTGTGTGTGTGTGCCGTACGCGAGTTTACCGTTATGATTCATCCAGCTGTTTGCGCAGCGTTGAAATCTGCGCAAAAAGAAATACTTCTCGAACTTTAGTTGGCGAGACAAAAACCGATTACTAAACAATTTATTTTATGAAATTATGTGTGCTAAAACACAAAGGCGTTTATGTACTTGTAGTAATACAGTGGTGGTCGGTAGAATAGTTCTAGTTAATAAAATCCCAAGAAAAAGTTTACAGTGGCTATCAAAACAGAAAATTTTTTAAGAAATTGTACACAGAAAAAAATATTTAAAAGTTTTTCACTTGAGATTTTGTTTCTATTTAAACTTTCTGATAAAAAAAAATTTTTATGTCATTTTAAAACTGTGCAGAGATAAAACAAGTCTTCTATTAGCAAGAACAATTTAATACCATGTATATTCTACCCTATTAAAATCGAATTTGAATTCGAACTTAGATTATCCCTTGTGCACTATAGGATCACGTAGATTGTTCACAGCCTAAATACCGATAGTACTTTCATATGTATCATCATTAAGGACTTTTTGCTGACTACTTGAACCTGGCTTATAGGGGTTTTTCCTAAAAAACGTAGATTTGATTCTCCCCCAATACAAGATTGTTTAGAAAAATAATAAACAACCATAGTATTTATAATCTGGAAGTATTAAATGTACATATAGGGGTTTCCCTAAAAATCCTAAGACGTATTCTCCAGAACCCCCAGATCGCATCTGGTATTCCGTAATCCAGTGCTATTATATTGACCGCTTTTGTGCTTCGTAAATACGTACGACAAGTACTAAAACGTAAAGCAAATTGCGCTCGTCGCCAAAACCAGGAAGCGAAAATCTACGTTCGACAAAGATTGATGTAAAAGCGAGATGCCGCATAGTATAAACCCCATGTGCTGGTGTTGGTGCGAGTGAAAGCGCACGTGTCCCTGGGTGTAGATTTTGCCCAAGTGTGTAGTGTGTGTAATGTGTGTGTGTACTGTGCGAAATACACTTCCGTCTATTGTGAATGACGAGGCGCGAGCAGTTGCCTTGCCATCTTTGTTATCGTTTGTTGTTGCTTCTGTTTCTGTTGACTTGTGACATTTACACACACGATTACGAAGAAAAAGAAAAGGAAGAAAAAACAACAACATTACCACTCACGCGTTTTTCTTGGCAGAATTTTCTCCGCCAGCAGAAACTGCGACATTTTTATTATACACATATAAAAATAATATCACTTACAGGCAGTAAAGGCTATAAAATATTTTCTAAAAGCCTTAGGGTCACATTAACTTTAAAAGGTCCCTGGTTCAATACCCAGTGGTTATACAAATTTTTGTTTGTTTATTCAACAAAATTTTAAATTGGTCTTTCTAGAACTCAAGTATTTATGGATTGGCTTGGCTTCGGGTATGCTAAGATCTTGTAGAGCTACGTTTTTAAGGGCACTCAAATTTTTGAAAGGTCCCTGGCTCAATACATAGTGGTTTAAAAAAGAGTTTTGATTAATTAAACCAAACTCTAAATCGGACTTTCTATAGCTCAGGGATATATATTTCTGGCGTCACTTTCGGACTTACTTTAATCTTATAGATATTCATAAGCTCTAAAAGGGCGTTCTAATTTTTAAAAGGCTATGGTTCAAAACCCAGTGGCTTAGAAAATATTTTTTTTAATATGCACATACATAAATTAAAAAATTTTAAGTAGTCCTATCTAGAACACTTCGATATATGGTTGTGGCACCTCCGATAAGCATTCGCACATGCTTTGATCTTATAGATCTACAGTATCTAAGTATATTCTAAAACTTTCCAATAATTATGGTATTTTTCCATGTGTAAAAACAAGTTGCACGTCAAAATGCTAATGCCGAATAAAATCTGCTTTATCATCCACTGCGGACTTTATTCCTCCGTATAATGCCATACCGAGCTATATACTATATATAGTGCCACTGACCTAGGCAGACGATGACGTGTTCTGTAAAACTGATTATAAAAAAATTGCTACGGACCTATAACAGGGAATTTGCTGAATGGAAAAAGCTCGTTTCGATTGTTTTCACTGTTTGGCGAGATTACGAATGTCGATCAGTTAAAGTTCAGATAATGGCGATCTTTAGAATGTGAATAAACAACGCAATATCGGTTTTGGGTTTTTTTTTCTTCCCTACACTGAGATTTCTTAAGTAATTATGGAATCTCCATAGAACATTTCAGGTGACATTTGAAAAAGATATGGCTACGTCACGGCTACGGGCAATTTCATAATTTTGCGTCACATCATGGTTTAGATACAATTTCGCCTAATCTACCCTTGGAGACGTTCCCGATAAGCGCGAGGGCTGAGTTTATTTTTGGATGTTGGCACAGATATTATAATTGTTTTTTTAGGGATTAAAATAAAGCTAAATACGGTTAGGGGATAGCCAGAACCATTTTTGTTGTGAAATTACTTCTAGCAAAGTTGGACTGGATTAGAGATAATAAATACTAATGCAATTGTCGATCTTTACAGTCAACAATATTTAAACGGTTTTATATTTGCAAGTGATATTTTCGAACCAATTACAAATATCTAAGTCAAATGTTAGGTGGCTAAAATATTTATTTTATTTTCCCTTTCCGTGCATTTAATTTGCACAAAATGTCATTCGAAATTTATCAATTAGATGTCAAATCAAATAGCACAAATCTCAGCAATTAGCAAGTTGACTGCCACCGGACTTACGAGCTTATAGAGCTATTGCATAGAGGCCTATTTCAGTAGGGTGATGATGATGAGAACTGCTTTTGGTCTTTGAGTTTCGGGCTGTTATGTTTGCTTTTGGCCATGCTTAGTTGTTGGCCTGAAAAATTTCCCATTTCTGATTAACACCTCGACGGACAAATAAGTTAACAGAGAACCCCGAGACCGAATGAAATGGCATATCATATACGAAATAGTATAAATGACCAATGGCGATCGTTTCGATTGCACGTATTTGGCCGCAAACAGTTCGCTGAAAATGTTTCGAGTGGTGAATGAGTGTGTGGAATAATGAGTCATGGTTATCATTTGACTCAGGGACGGAATGTTTGACGTGCGGGAAAAACCCGGCGATAACGTAAACAAAACGATAAATGCCCAAGTCAAACTTGTTTTGATAGACTTTTAATTGAATACTATTTAGGTTTGTGCTAAGGGAAAGTCAGTCCTAGTGTTAAATGTTAAAAAATATTAATATCTTTACAAAAAAAAAGATAGGGTTAAGTTTAAATACCAGTTTTATTAAAAGTATTACGATAATTAAAGTATAGATAAAAGTCTATACTATACAGTTTAATTTCTATATAAAAAGGGTCTAGAATTGGGATTTACGGTATTATTTTTAGACCAGTTAATTTCAATTTAATACTTTGGGAAGTATTAACCTAATACTAATCTTATCGACGCCCTATATATGCTCAATAGTGTAGAATTATTGTAACAGTTGCTTTTCTATGACTTTTTTTTTGTTAAAAGGTTTTATATTAACTAATCCCTTTTTACTTTCCTATCTTTTTAGTTAATGAAAAGTAGTAAACACAGTGCTAAATGAAAGAGAATGAGACCCAGTCGACAGGACCCAAGAAGACGATGTTGATTGAGTGCATTTCGCGTGACATTCCCTGAGAGTTTTCTTCAGAAAGCGAAGAGCACCAGAAGCAAAGCTCAAGTAGAGCTCTCGGCTATAAAGAGCTATACATATATTATTTTAGTAGTATATAAAAAAAAAGAATCCACCCATCCAACGATCGGTTGAGAGGCGTGGCAAATGAACTTCAATCCGGCCAGCGTGGTAGCCGCCGCAGCAGCAGCCGCACATCAGACGTTCCAGCACCATCATCATCATAATCACCATCCGCATTTGAACCACCACCAAACCACTATCATCCACCACCAACAACAACATCAACATCAACAACAGCTGATCCCACTGCCCGTCGGCGGGGGAGGAGGTCAACCAGTGGGTGATATATCACCCAAAATCATGGAGTGGACCAATGACGATGCTCTGGAACTAATAGAGCAGTATCGCTGCCATACGGAACTTTGGAATCGTGCCGATCCCAAGTACAAGGATAAACTCTGTCGCTTTCGAGCGTGGTCGGAAATAGCCGAGCGTTTCGGTTGCAGCAAGGCGGAGGTGGAGCGTAAAATGAACGTACTCCTAACCCAATATCGACGGGAAAAGCACAAGATGTTTGTGAAGATATACCAGGGCATACAGCCCAATCCGTCCAAATGGTATGCCTTCAAACGCTTCGATTTCATGGAGGCGGGCGGTGGCAGTTTGAGTGGTGGTGGTGGTGGTGTTGGAGGTCCTGGAGGACCAGGTTTGAATGCCTCGAGCGGTAATCTTGTGCCGAATCCCGTCTCCTCATCCGCCGCCGCTGCCGCCCACAATGGGCTGAACGGACTGGCGGCTGCGGCGGCGGCGGCGGCCTATGAGAGCGGTACGATCGCAGCGGCCGGAAATGGAGGAGCACCAGTCAGTGGACCAGGTGGCGGAGGAGCACCTGGTTCGCAGCCCGCCATGCAGCACAGACGCATCAAGACCAAAGAGCTGAAATATTTCGGAGCGGTAAGTGGTATTTTAATTTTTTAAAATAAATATACATATATTAAAAAGAACCGAAACTTAAAGAAACCCCCACTTTTGATTTAATCCCAGAAATGGCCCATCCCACATTATTGGGTATTCCTCATGTGTCCATAAATATATATGGTACTCATTTTGTATTTTCTTTATAAAGTTTTTATTTTAACTTTAACCAATAACTATTTAAACATAAAAAACTAAGAGGTAAAGAAAACTTCACTTTTGATTAAATACCAGGAGTTGTCCAAAGCATATTCTGGGGTATTCCTCACATGTCCATAAATATCTATGGTACTCATTTGGTATTTTCTTTATACAACTTTTATTTTAACTTCAAATAATAATAATTTAATTTAATAATAATTTGTCTATAAAAAAAAAAAAAAAAATTAAAGATCCTTAGCACATTCTTAGGTATTCCTCTTATTCCTAATATCTATGGCTCTCAGTTTGTATTTTCTTTTTCATTTTTGTTTGTTATAAAAACCCAAATGACTAAACAGTAGAAATGATATAACTTAATTATCAGAAATAAAAACTCTTAAACATCCTCTGAAAATTAGTATCAGAATTACACTGTAAAAGTCTCAAAAATCATAGATGATCTTTTAAACCGTCTTTTTTTTCTTCGAGGAAAAATTAAAGTACTAAACTTTTAAAACGCCTCTTAGTTTCTAACTAATAATGGCTTAAAAAATAATTCTTTTGAAATCAATAGTAATTGTTAAGATTATATGCCTACCTTAATAATTTTTGATTAATAAAAATTCGTATTTCATTGAGAAGAGAGCTACTCTTATCAAACATATAAAAACATGTGTACATACATTTGTACATTGTTCATAAATATTAAAAATCAAAGTCCACTTCCAGAAATGATGAAAAATTAACCAGACTTAAAACAGATTTTAACCCTAGGAGTCAATAAAGTGAGAGATGAAAATGAGATAAGCAATAAAATATTTTTTTGGATTTTTACTTAGCCACGTAATTTCTTTAATGAATATAAATGTATTTTTCTCTGATTAAAAAAATTAATCATGCAGCTTTTTCTAGTAAAAAAAATATTAAAGTGTTCTTGATAAAAAAAATATATTTTTAAAATAAATGGCCTTGTCATTAGACTTTACTTCCAAATAATTTTAATTCATTCATTTCTTTAGAACTCTTATCGAAATCTAATTCAAATGAAACGTTTTATAGGCACACGTGTGACTTTATTTTACGTCTTGGCAACAAATACCTATGTACATATTTTACTCATTTTATTACATACATATTTTTGGAAGCTAATCAATTGAAATATTTTACAGGCAAATAAAATAATAAAAAACTTTAGTGCTAATTTCAATCAAAACAACGGCTTTGAGTTAACTGTGAAATGAGAGAGAGAGAGAGTGAGTGAGTTTGCCAAAGAGAGAGAGAGAGAGCCCCACTCTCTCTTTGGGGCTCGAGCAAACATGTGCGCAAGTGACTTGCGGTTTTTGCACTGAGAGCGTGAGCGCGAGAGTGGCCCCACTCCACTCTCTCTCTCTGTCTCTCGCTCTTTCTTGTTTGTGCTCTTTTTTGTTGTTGACGATCAAAACAGAATTAAAAATTTACGCATAAATTTTTCTTAGAAATGCGCAGTGGTGTGCGTGTGTGTGTGTGAGGCATTGGCCCCAACTCTCTCCCCCTCTTTGCCCGTCTCTCTCCCTCTCTCTCTCTCTTTCGCACTGTCTGTCTGCTTGTTGTTGGTATTTTTGTTGCTTTTATTTGCGTTGTCGCGCCAGGCAAGCAAAAAGTGGGCGGAAGGGGGGGCTCGAGAGGGGTGTGTTGGGTTTGGGGGGCCCTGACATTTCGTCGCCGCTCTTCTTCTTCACCTTAATCTTCTCCTTCGTTTGTTGTTGTTGTTATTATTGTTATTGCTATTGTTGTTGTTTCTCTGTATGATGAAATGTTTGTTTTGCACGGCGAAATGTGTTGGCGACTGCGACGCTGGCAGAGAAAACGCAGCACTTGCTACGGTGATTTTTTTTAGTTCCATTTTGTTCCGTTTGTTATTTTGATTACCCTTACTAAAAGGTATAAGTATCTGTATGGAAAGTTCGTTGGATCTCGGGATCTACAAGAGCTACGGTGACTATTTTTGGGATGCAGGCCTAAAATTAATCCCTCTAAACATTTTCATATTTTTCCATAACCTCTTTTAAAATCTTTAATTACTCCACATTGTTTAACACTAGTAGTCAGTCAAATCAGTGCTCTAATGTGAGTTTTGTTAAAGTTCAACTATTTATAATAGCATTTATTATTCTAATTAAACCAAAGCGTTGTTTTTTTTCAAACCTTGTGTATTATATTAAAAAGACCATGGCCTAACTAGCAACTTTGGATCCTGAAACTCCGTTTTGGTCTGGGTCTTTGTTTTACTGTTGCTGTAGTGACGTTTTGTTTTGTGGTTACCCAGTGGACACCGCACCCCACCCTCGATTTACCTCCCAGTTTTGCCCGTCGTGATTCGCTGGAAGCTTTTGTTTTTACTTGGCTCTGTTGTTTGTCAGACTTATCAAAACAAAATGCCAGGAGTTGTTGTTGCCGTTCGCTTTCTCTTCTGGCTGTTTTCGCTCGTTTTTTGCTGCTGTTTCTAGAAAACAAATGAAATTTTTGCAAGGAAAAGAATATAAAACTTGGCGCCTGGACTTTTTCTTAGTTTTATGTGTGTTATGTTTTTTTTTTTTTGGGTTCGAGGGAGTGGGGAGTCTTGGGGAAATCGGGGGCGTGGCTCAGCTAAATGCATGCAACTTGTTTGTCCAAGTCATGTCACCTTTGGTTTTCTGGTTTTGTGGTATTCATAAAATATTTTGGTGTTTAAGACCATTAAAATTGTAGCAGCGGTAACCTGCTTTGGATAAAACCAAAAATAATTATTTATTAAATTAAAGTTTGCAGTTCAACCTAATTTTCAGAAAAGTTTTTCATAATTAATAATGTATTATTACTTAATTTTTATTGGTTATAATGTACAATTTCTTTTTGGTGATTGAGTTTCTAATGATGATTTCCCAAAACTTGTTATCAGTGGGTCATTAAATTTGGCTTCATTAAATCAATTGTATCATTAGTTATTTTTGTAATCGACATTAATTGATAAAATGTTATCTAGAAGTTCGTGGTTTTTATAAATATAACTGTTATTGCTTTTAATTTAATTCGTTTAATCACTGTTTCTTAATTTCCTTTGGATTTTTCTTTTGCTCACTTTTGACAAGACAAACCCCCCTTAAACCACCCTATATAGCAATTTTTTTAAACATTTTTTGCTACCATTGTTTTTTTTCTACTGTTTTTGTGTTTTGGTTTGGCTTTGGTCTCGTGTTGTTTTTTCTGCTTCTGCGTCATTATTATTTGCGTGTGCAGGCACTAACAACAACGCCCACGCCCCCTTTTCAGAACGCCCACCAACGGACAGAGCGCCCAACCACCCACAACCACAGCCCACCGCCCCCTTATTGTTATGTATTTTTGTTCATATTTTGCAATTGTTTTGCTCTGCGGTATTTTCCTCAAGACAAGTGAACAATATGCTGTTTTTGTTGTTGTTTCGGTTGTTGTCCCGCAATGTTGTGGCTAGCAAACGACTCACGCACCGCCTCACATCCCACATCCCACCATCCAGCATTTGCACCTTATAATCTGGAACACCTGCAAAAAACTAATGTTTCCTAACAAATTATAAGCTCTAAAATAAGATATTATACCAAAAACATGCAATATCTAAAAACGCGAATTCTTCAGTAGCAAATAGTCAGGCATAGAGTGTGCTTTTTATAAAGAAAGCATTATTTAAAAAATAAAATATAGAATTCAAATCATTTTTAGGGTAGTGTTAACCATTAAACGAACCCTTTTTTTGAAAGCGCAGCCGCAAATTCTTCAGGATTTTGCAAAATCAAGCCTGTGTTAAAAAAATAGTATTTCCTACCAAATTATAAGCTTTAAAATAAGTTAATAATCCCAAAAACGATCAATGTCAGGCACATCGATTGATTTTTATGTTAAATGCATTAGTTAAAAAGAAAATATCGAATTAAAAGCTTTTTTAGGATAGTGCTAACCATTAAATTATGCTTTTTGTTTGTAAAAGCAACCGCGAATTCTTCAGGATATTGCAAAAACATGCTTGCGCTGTTAGTTTCACCATCGAGTGCACTGTTTTAGGGAGTGCTTTAGTAATTGAACGATCTTTTAGTAATGCAATTACACTTTTCACAATTCCTTAAGTTATAAATTAATACAAATTCTTGAAACTTCACTTATAATTCGAAAATAAGTTTTCCGAGTGTAATTTCCTCTTGTTTGTGTTTCCTATTGTTGTTGTAGTTGGAGCGGCAGTAGCAGTAGAGTAGCGGAGTATCAAGCTGTTGTTGTAATTCGCGTTGTTTTGTTTTCCCTTGCATTGCCTATAAACCACCCACTTTCCACCCCCGCGGTGGCGGAATGAAAAGTGCAAGGCAAATAAGCAGCGACTGCGACGCCGGCAGCGAAGTCAACGTTTGTTTTTGTTTACTCATTCATTGCAAAGTTGTTTAGAGCCAAGCGCGCAGCGTATGGTTTTTTTTTCTTATATGTGTGTATGTAGATGATAATGATGATAGTAGTGATGATGATAGGGTATAGGGTTTGTTGTTGTGGGTGGAAAATCCGGGAGGTATTTGGGGCGGTAGAAGTGCTTAGAACTCGCTGTAGTTCCCCGCCGTCGAGAGTTGTGCAAGAATTTTTGGAGTTTTGGGCGAAGTCGGGAAACTATGTAAAGAAAATTATGGATTGTAGAGGAATATTTATTAAAACAACAAATGTATGATAAATATTTTGCTAATTTTTCCCAAAGCTATGTTGATAAGAAGATTTTTAAAGAAATTCCGATTTTTTCTTTGAAACTTGACAACTCTGGAAGTGAAAGAAATTGCATTATAAATCTGCGTCAAATAAAATTCTAAGAT